GCGCAGAGACCGTTATCCTGGAGAAAGACTTCCATAGCGCAAGGATTTTACGCTCATCAACCTTTATCAGTACCACTAATCACGACGTATCGTTGGAGTCTACGGCCAATCCGCACGCCAACCAGAATCAAGCCATCCATACTCAGGGCCGGAATCACAGCTTCCTCAATGCCGGTATGCAAGAAGTACTCGAAGAAAGCATCATGCGAAAACAGTGTCTAGAGCGAAAATGGCGGGAGTGGACCCAGGAGCAAGGCCGTAAAGCGAAGCGAGGGCAAACTGCAGCAGTAGGCGTGAGTCCAGAAAAACTAATCAAGTGGTTAAAACAGTACCCGGTGTGCAATGAGGTTACACACTTTGTCTGTGTCATGGATCCAGCTGAAGGGATGTTCAGATGGGTGCGCGCTTTTGAGGAGGGCGAGATACCGTTTCAGGGTTGATGTCAGGCTTGTTGGCTGTTCAGATCACTTGTAAATAAGAGCACTCCTCGATCAAGAAGGTAGGCTGTTCGCGTCTATCGTGTTGCTAGGAGTGCAGGCCTCGGCTCACGATGCATGCGGGAGCTAATACTAATGCGGTTTGCCACCGTTTACCTTCCGTTCCTGAGGGTTCTGCAACTCTCTCAAACTTCAGACATCGCCCACTTTCGCGACCTATTGAGTCATTAGTCGATTATGCCAAACTTCAGGTGGTTCTATTGAATGATCATTACGGTTATAGAGCACCGAAGATGCGACGCACGTCTAGATGGCAACGCACAAGAGATCCAGGACCGGCTGTTGGACTTGTCGGGGGGCTGGATATAAGTGTGACGAGGTGAAGCCTTTTTGTGGGCGTTGCACGAGACTAAACATCATCTGCAAAGGCTATGGAGTCAAGCTGAAATGGCAGGACGACGCCGCCAATTCATTGGCAAAACCACCACGGAAGAGTCGGAAGAAGAAGGCTATCAACGATGACCAAGCACTCAGCCCAGCGTCGACTATCAGCTTCGAATCCATACAATCGGCAGTTACGAGTCCAGATGTACTGTTCTCATCGCCTGACTCGGCGAAAAGTATGCCTGCTTTACCGTTCAACAGCCCTGTGCTGTCCTATGGGATGTCTCCAACCGATCGATGGCTCCTTAGTTATTGGGGAGAACAGCTCTCAAAGCTGTTATCAATTTCACCTCAAAATGGCATCGCGACACCATTCCAACGACATTTGACAGCCATGGCCTACGAATCGCCAGCACTTAGATCGACAGTCCTCTCAATGGCTGCAAATCACCTTGCATTTGTATCAAACGATGCTTCACTTCACCTACAAGGCTACCGGCACCAACGAGATGCTATCCAAGAGCTTCAAAGGATGATTCAAGATCCAGTGAATATGGATACTGAGCCAGCCTTGGCCACCGTCATGATGATGCAGGTTTCGGCGCGATTGTTTGGCGATGAGGATGAAGCCAACGTCGCGAACCATCTGACTGGCGCCAAAGCCATGATAACAAGGCGCAGTGGGAGTAGTTGGCTTGTCACATCTAGTGCTCGCTTCCTCCTGAGCCTGTTTGCATACCACGATATTCTATCTTCCGTGTCAAGAGGCTCGCAGCCATTATTGGATCATGAAATGGACTTTATCGCTATCGAAGGGGAGAAAGAGCTAGAAAGTATCGCAAAAGTCCTAGTAGCCGTTGCAAAGATCAGTCAGCTGCAACACGCTATCAGGACGAGAAGAGCCCTGTCGCCAACAAGCCCTGCTTTGTCGGAAGATGAAAATACCACTGGTCAACATATCCAGCAGATTCTATTAGCCATGGAACTCGTTGCATGTAAGAGGGGGGACAGCGAAGAGCGCATAGACATTAGCTCGACAGCTGAAGCCTATCGCCACGCCGCTTTCATTTACCTCTACCGAACCTGGCTTGATATAGGTGCTCCCAACCCGATAAGCATGGAGCATATCAATCAGTGTCTATCACAGCTACAGCAAGTCGACATCCATTCGCCTTTAACATCAGCGCATATGTGGCCGCTGTTCACCGCGGGCTGCGAAGCGATCGACAGCACACAACGACAATTCGTCCGTGATCGATTTGAAAAGCTGTATGCTGTGAAGCATTTCCCCAGCTTGAAACGCGTCATGCGCGATATCGAACATGTTTGGGCAGCCAAGGATATGGAGCAGCAGATGAAAGGTCAAGATGGAATGGCCAAGGTTGACTGCATACAAGTCATCCTGAAAAGAAAGGGGCGGGAGGTCGATCTTGCGTGAGAGTTTGCCTAACGGACGTAGCTTGCTTTGCGCACAGACAGGTGGTTCTTACACGTAAGGCAACACTTAGATGGAGCAAGGCTCCGTTTGCGCCGGACGATATAAAAATGGGATTCGGTGGCCTATGCTGCGTCCATTATACCTTCAACCAGCCAGACTACACTCAACCAGCCACAATGAACACCCCAACTTCCGTCTCTCACTTAGAGTCTCTGCCCGCAGAGCTCTTCAACCGCGTTTTGAGCTATGTTTATAGTCCTTACGATTGTGAGATCGACGAGTCCGACACCGCGTTCGGCGGTTACCGCTTCGAAACTTCCCTTCTGCGCATCAGCAAGAGCATCCATCAGCTCGCGAAGAGCTATGTGCATCACATGCTGTCTTGGATACGATTCGACGTCAACTGGGGCGCTTTCGCAATTCAGCCACACTGGCTTGGTGTAAAATACATCAATATTCGTCATGTCAAAGCCGCCAAAACACTCCCGGACGGATATCTGAACCTGAGTCTACGGCCCATACCTCAGGAAGCTCCAGCTGGGCGTTTGCACATCAAGATAGAGTTTCCACATGCCAGCGGTGAAACCCAAGAGGATGTTACACGCATGGTCAAGAGTGATGCAAACATCTCGATGTCCCTGCTAGTACTTGAGAAAGACCTACCTGGTTTCATGCAGGTACTTCGCATGAACGACCTAGCCTATTGTTACCGCAAATTCCCAGGGACTACAATCTCCAATGGCGTACGTGCGCGTCCTGGTGTTCATGGCATGAAATCTGAGATCGTTGTCGCACATGGCCAACAGCTCGAGCGCTATCAACATCTAATCTTAGAGTTTCACGTCATGTGGAATGTCCTCCACAAGACTACCATTACTGGACACGCAGATAGCCATCTTGCTAAGAAGTCTGCGGTCTTTATACAGGGGCAGCATGAACATCAAGCGCGAGAGTCGGTCGGTTTCTCGAAAGCAGACATGAACGCTAAATTGCCTATCGAGCTCATGGGAGAAGGGATATCATCTCTCCTTTGGCTCAAACACCGGGGCGACGAGTATCTCACGAAAGGCTTATACGCAAATGCTTACATGTGCTACTCTAGCGCATGCACTCTTGAGGAATACTGGCTAAAAATGGCTCCACCGCCTGCTGATTTCACCGTTTGGTCACTTGCCGGCTTCCTCTATGTCACCTTTGGAGTGACGCTCATGTTCAATATGGCGATCGCCAAGATGAAAGGACGCTTGGACTTGGTTCTTAAACATCCTCGTGGCACATCAATGTTTGGATACTACGGTATGCTCGCTATTCTCAGCGGTGGCGGTGGACTTCTTGATGATCAATGCTATATGGAGCTGAGCATGGTAGCCATGATCTACGAAATGTTGACTGAGGACCTCAACCAGGGTGATCGATTATTCGATCTCGTTGGCAAAACTTGGGAGGATGACGACACAATCGATGATCTATCGCCAGATCTAGGTCTTCTGTACGACACTGTCAAGGAACTCGACGATGCAGAACCCACACCCGCTTCTGGCCCTAAGAGTCCTGATGGACTGAAGGCAGCAGTGGCAAGTGGCTTCGCAAATGTCGCGCCGCTGAAGTGGGCGGTCTCAGTTGACAACTTCCCGAATCCATTGCGAGAAGTCGTCCAGTTCTTGCCACGGGTTCAGCTCTTGCCGGACGGTGCTGTGGAGAACCCTAGTGGATACAGCTTCCAGATTCCGGTGTACTGCCAGCCAACTGATGAGCAGCGCATGAATGGAGAGGACCACCCGAGGTATCTCGTGTAAGGAATGACCAAGGACATTCGCGGTATTCTAGATGAAAGTCTTGTGTACAAGGTACATGTCGCTGTTGATATGACGTACAGGCAGGAGGCTTGAGCGTTCCAACCTAAAGTTATCCAACAAAGTTTATTGAGGTCTTCTGTGTCTAAAAGGTTGTGATTTTTCATCGTGCTTTGGTTCGAAGCTGCCAAGGTAAGCCCTAGTCGCAGAACCACAAGAGATCATACCTAGGTATCTCGTCAATCGCCCACATGCGCGACGGCGGCGATGGCAGCATATACGCTTTGATCGCTTGGAAGCTGACGAGATGCATCGACATAATAGCAGACTACACGTCAAAGATATGCACGCCGGTAATAGCACGCGCCCGTGAGGCGCAACATTACGACGAGCGCGACAATTTGGACTTTCTTGCAGATGGCCATATAACTATCATCCGCAAATTTGAACGAGCATTGCAAGCGCTCGGTCATTCGAGGTCTTATCTGCTCAAAATCACGACGATTATGGGTTGTGTATGTACCGCTCCTATGACACCGCCTGCGCAACCGAAAAAATGCGCAGCCAGCTCTAATGGATCGCTTGGTTCCTTCTCCGCAGCGCTATATCGCAATCACCCAATAGGAAATCTCGGATCGCATCGATACAAGACGTAAAGATGCGGGTGAGATGGGTGTTGAACTGTCTGATGGTGCGTGAAGAAACAGAAGGGAGGCCGGGCAAATTTTCGATGTTATCGAGATCCTGCTTGGCGCGCTAGTCCAACCATAGATTGGCGCAGACTGTCTTCCCGAGGGGTCTCCACTTAGGGCCCCTTCCCAGCCACTTTTAGATACATGCAGAAGGATCAGGTCCATGGTGAGCTTTGTGGCTTACCCCGCGATTGTAATCCTCGGCGATGGGGAGAAGAACGGCTGAGCTTCACACATCAAACGACTGTCCGCCGACATGGACACGCAATCTACCCCCGCAAGGAATGTGGCCAGCAGGGACGCAAGCATTGAATACATCAGCGACAACATCTTTCAATTGACACTCTCCCCAGAGAACAAAGCGGAAGTATTTGAGCCTGGCCTTTCCAAGCTCGACCAAGGTCAAGAGGAGGCCAGCCTCGTCCTTCGAAATTTGACCTCATGGTGTCCAGATGTCGCTGCTCAGTTTTCCCAACGCTCAACTACTACCATCTTGAAGACACCATTCCGTCTGGTCTTTCCTTCAGACGCTCGGTGGGCTTTCGACAAAGACCTGTATCCACGACAGTATTTCGCGATCTCCTATTGCTGGCATCCAGGCGACTATCCGAACCCGAATTATGAACCGCACGATCGTTGGCCTTTCAGCAAGCCCTTTGTAGATGCCATTCTGGGTGAGAAAGAAAACCCTCGCATAGGACTTTGGATTGATCAGCTCTGTATTGACCAAGAAGACACTCTCGACAAGCAAATGTCTGTTGCTGCCATGGATGTGATTTATCGATCATGCATGCGTCTACTGGTTCTGTTAGAAGACGTGAAACTTACTGAGGCGGAGACCCACCTTGTGGAGAACTTTGAAATCACCAAAATACAGTGGCATAAGTCATGGTTACCTGAGCCGGAGGTCAGACCGCTCTATTTGTCTTTCTACAAGAAGATCAACACAGCGAGATGGGTACGTGAAGCTTCAAGAAAAAGGGAATTCTGAAGCACACGCTGACTTGCTCATTCTTTCGTTGCAGTGGGATCGTGCCTGGTGCTTCCATGAATTCAACGTCAACGAACCATGGAGCGACAAAAGGCAGCGTTACAGGAATCACAATGCGACGTTCTTCATGAATGGACCCGGTGATTCCATAGTCAAGATGAAGTGGGTAAATCTCCAAGTCATCATGTCTACAGCGATAGACTTGCCGTCTCACGAGAACAATATCACATTAAACGCCTTCAAGGGCCGAGAAATCTTCTCGGGCTTTGCTAATCAAGGCGGACCTCCTACAGCGACCATGAAATCGAGTATCATGGCCTCTCATAACAGCGTAGCTCGAAAAGGCTGTCAGAATCTTGGAGACCGCATCAGCATCATGATAAACATCAGTGGGCGTGCCCTCGCATACTACGGCGAGGCATTGAACAACAAAGACGAGGTACTTTATTTCAGCGCACTTCTCGCCCTCGCGGCAGGAGAGACATACCCACTCAGTATGACGGACCCCACATCGATCAGACTCATGGGCAATAAGACGTGGCTTTCGCGAAGCCTCGGTACTGGCGATACTATAATTCCAAAATTTCCTCTAGGAAGTGTGCAGGGCATCCGCCAGATTTCGACCGAAGTCATCAAAATCGACATGATTTTTCTTCCAAGGCTCATTACACCAACAGATCACAGCTTCGAGCTGGACACTGTTGGCCAAGTTTTCCCTGGCACAATACCAACTACAGAGCCGGCAAAGTATGTCGCTGATGCAAGCAAATCGCATTTACCTGCCGCCCAGACGGACAGCGAATGCGACGAGCACAGACGAAGGTTCATCGCCACTTGTATCAGTAATGGAATTCAGTTTACTGCCAATCTATGGGAGCAGCTAAAACGTGATGTTGTACACCCCAACTATAACCAAGGCATTTTCAGAGATCTGCAGCCAAACACTGCCCTCTATATACCAGCACAAAGATTTTTGGACCAACTCCGACGATATGCAAGTCCAGAAACGTTGGAGAGTAATGCATTTGACTTGGATGACACCAGCATCTTCTTGACCTGGGTAACCGATCCTCGTTCAATGTATTACATTGGCTCTCTTTCATTCCTCTTGCAATGCACCATGGATGGGCGTCAGGCTCTCATGACTATCACGAGCATTAAGGAAGACTGGAAAGATGCTAAGTTTGAGGAGCTTCAAGCTGCAATTCCTACTGATTTGCTTAACGCGAGTTGCATGACGTCGAGGGTTTGGATTCTGCAACCATTGGAGATCGATGAAGGCGTTGTGTTGAGATGGAAAATTGTGGCAAAAGCGCTGCTGCTCGGTGAGCCAAATTTGATGGAGGAATTGAGACTGCATGGTAATCAAGACGATGCGGTGGTAGCGTTGAAGGCGGACACATGCGTGGGTGGTTAGGCATGCTATGGGCCTATGTACCGAGGTTGGTGCGTAGCGCAGGACACCGGACTTGCTGTTGCCGACCTTAAAAGTATTGCGAGCTCCATTGAGACCATCGATACCTGGATATACTCTCAGTGCCATCTTTACGGGCAGCTTACTTCGCTCCGGTGCACAACATGCTACATTCTTTTGCAACGACTTGCTGTTGTTATCGGTCATGCTGTATCATGGCCGGCGGACGGGCACAGCTGCAAGGCCTTCCAATCTTGCTTATTCACGAGCCTGGCAGGTAACCTACATTACTAATTCTCGCACGCCTCCCGGAAGCGCATCAATCGTCCATCCGAATTGTAACGTACACTATCACCCTACTCGACAATGAAGTTCGCTTCCACGGAGTTTGCCTTCGTGTCGCCTGCTTTTGAGTGGCTTGTTCGCTTGCTGCAGCCTTGGAAATGACGCCCCTCCTGTGCGATTGCCCTGCAGGTTCATGCTCTCGGCATCTCCTTCAGCTCCTCTGCCACTCCGCCCCAGTCTCGCTATCGATATGGCGCCGAAGCCCCAATGTCGATGACAAAAGTTTGCCGCCGCGCTCACTTATGCCTTGGGTATATATCAAGATATCGAGCTCTCTGTGAGGGCCACAATCACGGCCCGCAATCATCGCCATGGATCGCTCCACGAAACCAAGCTTCAACTTTGTGAACCTCACACACCCCGACGATCTCAAAAATGAAGAAACGCAACTGCGCATTCGACGTCTAGCTATGACTGAGGTCGGTAAAGCGAGAAGAAAACCCAAAACGAAGAGGGCGCGCAATGAAATCGTCCTTGAGTTTCGCAATCCGTCCGAGAGTCGCGTCGATGTTGACCGGTTTGGTGGCGGTCAGCTTGATCCCTTTAACCCCTACCCCATCGAACTTGACGACTCTTGTCGAGCGCTACTAGCGAACAGTAGGCGCATTCACTCGTTTTGGTCAGACTCTTTCCTGACTTGGCGTAGTCTTTAGTACCGAAGATAGCAATCATCCTAGCCAGCTCCGTGGCTCCTGGTACCCCGTTGGACTCAGCGATGCGGCAGCTTTTAACAACATGCTTTCCAACTCACAAAACTTCTTGTTCCAGAGGCGCAACGGATATTACCCTTCACAAGATGATGCCATAGCATTGAAATATCACAACAAGGCGCTTCGCCACACCACCCAGATGATGAACGACCCGGCGAAGCGCACGAGTGATGAAGCTATAGGTGCTGTGGTTTCTTTCATGATCCACTTTGTAAGTCGCCCGTTTGAGGTCAATGGCGGCAAGGCTGATGATCTTCAGGCTTTATTGGGGAACTTTACCAGTAGTGATTGGCAGAAACATAGTAACGCACTAGTGAGAATAGTGGGACTAAGGGGCGGATTCGATACCATTGAGAAAGAGCACTTACGAGTTACGATCAGCTGGTCAGCATCTGCGGGTGAGCCCAAGGCTTGATAATTGCTGACGTCTGAATAGGGCAGACCTCATAGGAAGCTTCTATCAAGACCATCCTCCTATTGTACCAATGCCACGACAATGGATAGTGGACTCGAAATCTCCACCGAACTCCCCACGGACGTGTAACGGCATATCGTTAGTCTGGAAACAGCAGCTACCAATGCAGCTTGACTTTGTCACCATCTTTGATGATATAGTCCAATTGATCTCTCTCGATAGAGCTTTCAATGAGGAGCAGTTGATGCTTGCGATTACGAGCGGTAGCTGGCTGGAACCAACACCTAAGATAGCGATACAAAGTGAATGTTAATTGCCCTGCTTGCAGGGCTGTATGTACTCGACTCGCACCGGACGAAAGCGGACGCTGTAATTGGCAGACCAGAAGCAGTCGTCTGATTGGGTGCAGGACGTGATTACCGTAAGCATTACGGTAATCACGGAGGCCGGCGTTTCGGGCGGGCTGCCGCGGCAGGTCGACGCGACGCGTCGCGTCGGCTTGCCGCTGCAGCCGGCGCCCGAGCCTTGGCGAGGAACATCAAAACTTCAGACGGGCGCAACACGCGCAGCGCGAGGTGCGACGCGTCAACACTCCAGACGGGAGCAAAAAGACTTTAGACGGGAGCAAAACAATCGCGCGCAGCGCGAGGTGCGACGCGATTGCTCGCGAAGCGAGCGGCAACGCTGGGTAGCGCGGGTCCTAAGGCCCGCGCAACCGCTGAGCCCCACCAAAATCTAATGACGCCCCCCGGCGCAGCCGGGAAGTAGGGCGTCTTGATCCTGTCTGGGATTACTTCGGATTTTAAAACTAAGTATACAGAATATTGTATTGTACTATACGCTATTATTTTGTAGCTCTGCCTCCACAGCCATTGCAGCCTCTAGATCCTGGAGTATTGACCTCTCTTCTCGTCTATCCTCAGCAGAGCAAAGCGCACGCTGCAGGTCACGTATCCTTTGCTGTACTAGAAGTATTTGTAATTCTGATGCCTCTCTATCCTCATAAAGTAGTGCTTGGTATTCCGTGTGTTCTTGCGCTAACTCTTCATCCTCCCGAAGTTGTTGCTCCTCATATTCAATGCGCTCTTGTTGCAGAGCTTCATCATCGCTTGATGTCCAGGCCTCGTCGTCAACCAAGCCTTCGTCGTCAACCAAGCCTTCGTCGTCACGTTCGTAGTCGTGTTCTAGATGTTCTAAGAAGCCCTCGCTGAATAGTCTGCTTCGATCTAGCGGACATGTAGCTGCCTTACCCTCGGATTGAAGGTGGTTGACCCATTTGGCGATACACGCCTTGTGAAATGTATGGCCGCAGACGATAATCTGGACTGTCGGCAGAACATCATTCTCGTAGCATATTGAGCACTCGGTTTTCGTGTCGAGGAAATGTCTATCGCTTAAGGTGTGCGTGATAGAGTCGAGGAGATTGTCCTGGGTATCTTGCGGAAAAGAGCTGGACATGTTGTTTTTTTGGAATGGCGGGGTTAGTTCATTCTTGCGAGGCTGTCTGTAGTTATAAATACGTCTTAAAAACTGTAAAGACAATAAAGAATGTAGTTTGTGTCTAAGACATTATTCGTTGTAGAGACAGTAGAGTATTGAATCTTCTAGGTGTTACTGTTGTCTCAAGAAAACTATGCGCTGTAAGCTTTATTCACGCCAACATATCGAAGTTGCCTGTGCTCTTCGTGTGTAGAACAATGTTAAGGAGGTGCTTGGAGGTGCTTACTAATAAAAGATAGATGGCGAAAATCTCAAGGCACGCACACTTTGTAGACCCCTGAAATACAGCTCTGATACCTTCTACTGCGAAAGCGAGGCATATCTCGGTAAACGCACCCAGGCATATAACGGACCCGTGGACGTTTGTCGCAACTCAAGAGTCTAATAATTGCGATTCCTCTCATTTGGGGAGTACCTTTGCGTACGTGGTGGTGATGTATTGTGGGAGTCGTGAGTGGCTTGGCGTCACAGTCTCAGTCAAGGGCGCATTGTCTTCCCGAGGTCTCTGCCCGCGGGGGTGGTGGCCTTGGCAAGAACTTTGCTAAGGTGGCCGCAGCACCCGTCCAAGACACCCCGGGCCTCGTCAACTAGTAACCCTCCCCTGCTAGACACCTGTATCGCAATATTCGCACAGTAACTTAGCATAGTTGACACTGAGTTATCCGTCGCCTCTTCGCCAACTTCCCCTAATGAGCACCCTCTCCCCGAACGTCCCAAGGTTCACAAACAACCTCGACAGGAAGCGCTCTGAATCATTAGCCCCACCGATGACCACTAGACCACAGTGACGCACTAGACACGTTCGCGAACAACATCAAAGCTATTCTGCTTTTACCACACACCGAAGCATACCTTTACGAGCCCGTTGAAAAGATACCTAAAGCCTCGTCACGCGCGAACGTCACAAGCATTCCATGTCATCAGAAATCCTCGCAGCGCTCTTCGAAGAACTTCATCACCCAGACACACGCGATCGTAGTGCAAGGATCCAAAATCTATGCGAAGTTTACTGGGATATCCTAAGCAATGACACCTCCATCGCACAGTTACACCTTAACGAATTCACCCTCCTGCTGCGCGAAGACGAAAACCTTGCGCTCGCACAGCTCGTTATACCCGAACTTCGATACAGCGCACCTACTGCGAAGGAAGAAACAAAGCGCCATATCCAACACCTCTTCCAATCCGTGTCAAGCCTAAGCCCGAACACCACACAGACGAAGTATGCAGAGGTACACCAGTTGTTTGAGAGTGAGAAGGATATCATTCAGGAGATGGATCTATACCGAGCTGCTCTGCTGCTCTTCAACCGCGGCGAGATTAGCGAAGCCAGAAAGACACGCTTGCGAGAGTGGTTACAGAACGCGCCCAAGTAATGGACAAGGTGGACAAGATGTGGACCAGATGGGGTTCAGACGGCATTTCACCGCGAGAGATATAACTTGCTATTCTTCACATACACGGAAGCCTTCCTATAGAAGCCTACATTACGCGAACGCTTCTAGAATCGAGTGTCTGCTTTGGCCTGCGCCATTGTCTCCATCAACATTCATCTCATCGGGGCTGTCGTCACGGATGCTTTTACGAGTCCGGCGGCGCTTTCGCGCACGTCCTGGGGCCACTGTCTGATCGTCGTCTGGGTCAGACCTGCTGCCTTGTACCGTCGCACCCAGGCTAGCGCTTCGGATTCGCTTCTTGGCGTGACTGTGTTTTGGTGTTTGTTTCGGAGAAGTAGGCTCAAGACTGTGGCTCTTGCAAGGTTCTTCGTCGTTTAGTCCGATTGGAAGCTTCTTAAGTTCCCAAGCACGTGTTACAAACTGAATGGCTGTGTAATTATAAAACCTTGTGAAAGAAAGACACAAATTGTGGTTTCAATCAATGAAATATCACTTATCTTAGGCCGATACCGCCGAGCCGCGTGTTGAAGCTCGCCCGGACTCAATTCCCATGACCCCGCTACCCGCCCATTTATCCACCCAGCGATGACTGAATTATTCAGACATTTTCAACAGCGTCATGCTAAACCTCATAACTCTCACTCGATAGATTGCTCCTCTATTCTGGCATCACCTTTGTCTAATAGACAGAACCTTCGCCGAGAAGTTGACAAGCATCTACTTCCAGACCGTCCCCCAGACTTCTAATCTTACTTCTCGCCCCTGGTAGACGAATCGCTACTGAGCCACGATAGCGATTCTGAGGTATTTATGGCTGGTGCTGAGTCAGCCTTGGCCCTTCGGGACCGGGACCTGACAGAATCGATCAACCCTACCTAGGTAACCGGCCTTCCTTCAACAATGTTTGGAACTTTTCCCGGAGCTTATCACCAGGGTCTCTAATCTCGTGGATTCTATTAAGGATGGAAGACTTCAAAGTTTGCCACTCCTCCTTTGTGGGATGGTCGTGAAACACCTCTTCAAGGACGGTGAGTATGTCAGCGCTAGTTCTACACTGGCCCATAGTCGTGTAGTCGCCACCTCGCGGAATAAGCAATTCGCCCGCACCTTCATCGTTCTGATAGTCATAGGTCTTTCGAGCCCACAAGAGGCATCCGTGAGATTGGCGAGAAAGCGAGCCCACGCAACTCCCGCTGTGATTGAAAGAGCACGATGCTATCTCAGTGTATGGGATCAGGATAGCTTTTGTGCTAAAAAGTTAGCGCTTAGTTAGCGATGATTACTAGTTTGTGACACGCGAGCTATTACTGACCAATCCTGAATGGGCATTTCCCACATTGTGCATTTCTTAAGGCGCTGTGTCGGAGCGGCTGCGTTCCACCACCCCTCTTCAAAAGATGACCATGCCTCAAGGGCAACGAATAGTGCGGCTGTAGCTCCGGTGATTTCAGGTCCTGCGATACCCTCATAATCTTTTCCTTGAAGCCAGCCAATCTTAACTGTCTTAGTTAGTAAATGTGGACAGAAGATAGTAAGCAGGACTTACAAGGCTGACTACTGCGAGTCGCACAGTTGTTGAGAGACACAGCAAGAAGACCAATAGGGTGAACGGTGTTTTCCTGGGGTTTGTAATGCTTTTGGAGTGTTTCAAAGCCGACGAAAAGGCGGTCTAGCAAGTAGACGTCTCGTAATCTCTCTTCAACAGCATCCCAATGTACTTCGTGAGTTGCGTAAGAAATCCCGGAGTTCTTCATACCATGAGGTAGTGCTTTCATAGTTGCGAAAGGGTGTAGTAGCACACTACCCTGCTCAGACGTGAGACTATCAAGCCACTGTTTCTCGAGACTTGCGAGTTCCGGTTGCTTCTTGGAGAAGTTCAGTTCATCCTTGGTCAACACTAGATTGGCTGGGAATTCGGATGCTTTACAATCACTTTTGCATACGCGGCAATTGTCTTGTTGTTCACCTTTCCTTTTCCCTTGTTTGTAGACCTCCGTAGGCTGCACCCAACGACGCTTACAGTTTCGGCAGATTCGGTGACCGGTTCTATCCATGGAGGGTGCAGGAAGCTGTATAATTCCAGAAATTAGTGGCAGTTGAGTATGTACCAAATCCAGCTGACAATGAATGCGCTCTTAAATCGAGGATAGGGGCGAGAAGAGCTTCTAAATATATCGCAATATTACAAACCTGTGACCTTCGCACCTGCCAGTAGTTTGAAAAATGATCGAGAACCTTCTGCTTCAGCGTTGTGGTCACGATCGGTTTGCTCGTTCCGAACAAATCACGCACCCTGCTAAAGGTAAGCTTCTATTTTATGCGCGCGAAAAGTGTAGTAGAGGATCAAAACTACAAGCTTGTATTGAAGATACTTTCCTTTTTGAGAGGACCTAATTAGGTAAGTACATATAGATTTTAGAAGTTATAAGTACCTAGGTAGCTTGTTTTGCGTTCAGTTACCGCAGTATTATAGAACGAAAGGGAAGAACTAAAGTACTGCACCGCACCGCACATCTAGATGTAAATTAGAAGAGGGGAACATGTTAAGACTGCAAATAAGCACGAGAAAGTTACAAGAGCATAGCATTTTAGTATGATAAAGCTGTAGTATACAGCGACCAGTGACCTATTTAGTAGTCTTCAAGAGCATTACCGCTACTATATGTTATATAACATCACTACTTGTTAACTCGTTCCAAATGCAAGCTCTAACTCTGTGTGTAAGACACCTAGTCATTCTAATCTTATCACTATGCCCACGTTACCGTCATATTCCATCCACAGGTCAGCTACTCCCAGAAAATCCACTCTCACTACGTTTTAGAACACATGTTGCGTACTCTTGTTACTTGTATAGAGCCTAGACAGCCCCCTATCGTCTCCGTGGAAAGGGTTCAAAATCGACTAGGCTGCCCGCTTCAAACGGTTGAGCAGGGTGGGCGAACTTGCAATTGTCGACCGAGCATTCCGTGTACGCAGCGCATCTTATACGCGTGCAAGCAATCGCATCCCCTTTCTGGATTCGAATCGTACATGGTGGACAGATCTTGGCATTGGTACACAGTTTGTCGCCCCGCTTTCGCCAACATTCAGTGCACACGGAAACACGTGTATCTGTCTCAATTACTGCTTTTCGTGCAGCAATTTGCGCATTGTAGCCTCTCCGTGGTCTTGGGTGCTCGACAACGTTACTGTAACCGTCGTTGTAATGGGCTTTGTCGCAATGGCGAGGACAAAACCAATTGTCTCTCGACTCATTATAAGCCTCACAAGCAACCCTCTCGCAGGTTAGACTGGATGATTCACAGTTCTTGCACGACCCGGAGTTGTTGTCGCACAATTTTCCGCTCTCCCAACAAGCGTGGCAAGGTACGTGGGCTCGGAGTAGCGGTAAAGTGCGTAGACTCTGCAAGAAATCCTCGGGGAGTTTGGTGAACTTGCAGTGGAGCCGACGCTCATAGCACTTTCCACAACAGTAATCCGCGTCTGGGAGGGTGTACACGATCTCCGGGTGAAGGAATGTGCATGTGTCTTCCCCAAGGCACTCGTCGCAGGAAACTTTGACAGTTCCAGTGGCCAAGCCCGAGTTTTCGACGAGTTCTTGGAGTTTGATTCCGCGGTCTTTCACCTTGACCATCTCCGCCATCGTAGACGATTTGATGATTTGATTAGACCAGTTCTTCTCCTCTTTGAGTCGAAGGAAAACCTTGCTGAAGTCCTGGTTATAATTGGTGACGAAAGGTTGGTTTTGCTGGGTGCGTGACAAGCTCATACCCACGAGGACACGCTGAATCAGGCTGCTCATGATTAGCACAGGATAGGACAGGATAGCGAAAATGATGATTTTGCGCCGATTCAATGAAGGAAGCTTACCGAAATGCTGTGTGAGCCTTATTGTCATCGTGGAGCTTCATATCCCCATGGTTCCATTGTCGCTGAAGCAGACCAGAAGAGCCATGTATACTCGTGGTAAGTTCCGTGTCATTCGCATTGAAGACTTTATGAAAGAACTCATGCACGGAGCCATCGTTGAGAGTATAAAGCTTGTTCAGAGGCTTGGCTTCAGACTTGATGTACGGCGATGCAGGGAAGGAAAAAAGCTTTCCCCGGCTAGGCCTTGAGAGCTCGCAGCCCCCGATAGTGGTTCGGACCCAATTCCATTCCCTGACACGAGATTTGTCCTCGCATGTTACGCAGGCTCTTGACTGTGGGAGGATAGTCGTCAAAGAGGAAGGCAGAAGAGCGATGTTGTCTAAGCAGGGGACCTGATCAGGCATAGCAAACCCCCCCGTCATCGCGACGAATACGAAGTCTTGAGCGGTACAGACAGGAAACGTCCAGCCTGTGTTGGCTGCTAGCTCGAAGAGCTCGGAAGTCGACTTGACCGCCTCAGGTCTGTGGTGCGGAATGAATTTGAGTAGGATGCATCTCTTCGCACCCGCTGCGCCCGCAACTAGTGACACGGGAAGTAGGCCGCTAGCCTCGTATAGCTCCTGATCTGTGGTGGTCCATTCGTGTTCGACCATGACTGCATCAGCAGCGGGATGGTTGTGCAAGAGTATGCATGCATGCTTGCGTAATTTGTAACACTGCTCGTTGATATGAACCCGAAATGCAAGACCCATAAGAGCTACTTCAATAGCAGAGTGGTGCGAACCTGGAGTTCCTCCTTCGCTGTTTTCACCCTTCGCTATGGGTCCAAAGTCGACAGTGTCGTCGTACAGGTCGGCCTCCTTCCACTTTTCGCGAAGTCTCGCCTTGGCATGTGGTCCATTTTCCCTGATTATGCTAGCAAAGTCTGTGCAGCTTCCATCCTCTACCATGCTGATGAGACGAGCCGTCGTGTCCGCCGAGTCACCGCCAGACCTGGTATGAATAGCAAGGCTTTCTCCCTTTTGGACCAAGAGGAAGTGCCAGTTCAACTTTAGGTCGAAATCGGAGTCCAGGGGTTTAAGCGGGATGTGGGGATTTTCTTCCCCGTAAGCCTTGTGCTCTACGTTGTAAGAAACGTCTTCTTGCTCGTCGTATAAGTAGAGATCGCATACCAGTGGGGCAATCGGATTGGACATTAGTTTCAGGCCAGGAACGTTCTTCATGAAGTCTCGGAGACGTTCGATGGATTGATCAGACAAGTGGTACTTCCGGGAAGTGATTTTGAGTACGCCGTTGGCTGTCTTGTCTGGATCTGGTACCATCCAGCCATGGAATTCGACTCCATTGGAGGGGTTGACATACGCGATCTTCTGGCGCGCAGCACCAACAATACGCGTAAGAGCCTCGTACAGGTTACTTACATGTACTGCGTATGGCGCTAACACATCGCTGAAGACGAGCTCATTGTCGGAGAGCAGACGAGACCGTCCTTGTGGCATTCGGTCTGCGCCGGACCTGTGCGTTGTCCTATAGATCCCACGCCAACTTCGCATTGGTACAATACACGTATATTGTGGAAATTCGGGAACAGTAACCATGTAGTATGGTACCCACTGCCCGGGCTTTGGGGGACTAGAACCGAATTTGGAATCGAGTCTGTAGATCTCCAGCGGCGCCGATAGGGGGAGGCTTTGATGTTGTCGTAGCCACTCAAGTGCAGCGGTGAGGTCCGTGAATGGGAAACCGTCAGGTGGATCGACGATCAATCCCCCATCGACGTTAGCAGACTCAGCACCTGGGAAGTTAGCCTTCACCCAAGGAATAGTGCGTACATAGAAGTAAATAATCGTACCTCGGATAAGCCCAATCGTCATTTCGTTTTTGCCGAGATTGTCCATAAGCACTTTGTGAAGCGTTTTGAAGCTATTGCTCTCCGAAAGCCATCCTAGGATAGAAGGTATTCGGTCCTCGATGCTACGGGGGGGTGCCATCGTGGCCCGCAAGTTGCTCGAAGCAAAATTAGACTACTGGATAACCGACGAGGGTAGCGTTTCCTCCAAGTAATGCGAATGTCCAGTCGATCTGAAGTGGGTTTTGAGAAACGATAGGCGTGCGGAAGGAGTTTGTTTGTCGCCCAAGTGCTTCCGCATCTCACCTGGGCAGGCTGTTATGACTAGTACGAAAGCAGTGGGTGATCCTAGTTTTGGGTCACACAAGCTTACACCGGCGGCTGCGACCCCCTACGATTGGCAGACCAGAGTGGGCCTGCTTACAGTAGGCACGTTGCTGCGCCCGCGGTAGGTGCATACACTCCCCCCCCCCCTGGTACGGGTGCCTGGCGTGGTTTTTGAGGTTCTTGCCGAGCCACTCCAAAGCAATAGCGAAGCCCCTCGCAAGGGCTGCAAAGGCCACAACAAGGGCTTTAGCAAATTAGAATCTAAGAACAGAGAAAACAACGCTAGGTACCCGTACCAGGGAGGGGAGTGTACGACGCTCGTGTCAGCTTGCCAGCTGAGCCTTGGCGAGGAACGTGAGAATTCTCGACGATTGCACAACGGGCAAGGTGCAGCGTCGCAAGCGAAGCGAGCGCAATGACGTCGCGCTCGCGCAGCCTCGCGCCTTGAAAGCCATATCTGCCGCCCCAATCGAAGTTGACAGTCGGGAAGCTTAAGTTCGTGTTATCTATGCCTTTCTACAGGTAGTAGATTCTAAATTGCGCGTGCGTAGACTAGTTACAGTCCCGCAGGGTTTCAATCAGTGTACTTTGAAAGAAATAGCAAACAGTTTTTACCTTTGAACGTGATTCTTTTGTCAACATTTGCTTTCCCATTGATTTAATCTTTTCTAGCCAGAACTCCCACATTTTTACGAGTACCAAAACAGTCCGCCAACAAGCAACCTCGGAGATGTCTACTAAGAACAACGCCAATTCTAGTAGCATTGCGGAGGGTCCACACAAAGAGGATGGAAACGCCACAGAAGAAGAGGTGAGCAATGTCGGACGCTTCTGCGGGACCTGCGGTGAACGCAAAGCTGGAGAGCTACACAGAACGACATCAGACACATGGATAGAGTATTGTACAATATGCAAATCATTCCATACGTTCAAAACGGCACTTGTAGCACTTCCGGCTTCCATTGATTACACTAACGCTAGCCTAGGGCGATAAGACTCCCACAGTAGCGACAACCTCACTTGCAAACGTCACTCAAGATCGTAATCGCGTATCAAAACGAGTTCGTCGATCTGCTTCACCAGATGAATCGCCACAGGCCTCGAAACGACCTCGCAAAGTTGCTTCACAACGTCAGCAGACAACAACTAAGATGGCCGAAGCACTGTCCTGGGCTGACTCAGGCTCAGGTGCAGATTCAGGTGCTTTCGAACCAGATTTCCAAGATGGCAGTGACGAAGACTTCCAACAGGGCTCCGCCGATGACCTTAAGCAGACCCAGACCATCCTACATCCGCCGATGACAGAGACTCTGTCCAGGGTTGAACAAACCAGGCTACTCAGTCCTCGCACTTCATCGCTGGGATCGGATAGTCAACATCAGCAGATGCTTTACCATCTCTTAAGAGACAGTCTTGACTCAGAGCATATTGTTGCTGAGATAAATCGCTACCGCAAAGAAGGCAAGCAGCTCCCATGGTTCCAACAGATCATACCCGGTTTAAGACCCGGTGTCGAAGGTAATGCGACGTGGTTGCTGGCCGCTCGTGAGACGCTGTGGGACGAGGAAGAGATTGAGCGTCACAAGGAAATATGCGAAAGAAACATGATGCTAGGTCAGATTCTTCCAGAGCTACCCGTGGACGAATATGGGTTAAGAAGACCTTGGCCGTCCATAATAGAAGGCCTCCAACCGATCAGCCTCCCCTTAGCCATCGCGTTGGATCAGGTTTCCTGCCTACTTGCGCGGGGGGACTGCAAGCTGTTAGATCCTACTGGGAATTGGTTGCAGACTGCACCTAGTCGCACTCAAGAGAGTAACAACCAGCAGGACGGTGATGCGAATGCCGGTAGCAATGCAAACAACCAGCGAGACACCGCCGCAGGAAATAGCGATGTCGAAGCCGACCAGACATACGTGGTAATGCGACAAGCCATACAAGACAAAATCCTAAGCCCTATCATAGACGACTTGTCTTCGAAGCTCAACAATCTTACTGGAGGCGATTCGATGCAGGTAAAGAGGAAAGAGGAGCTTCGTGAAGGTTTGCGACGCTTACGAGCAGTTATCATCACGGAGAAAGACGCACGCGATAGCGCTCGAGACTAGGGGAAGAGAAATTTGACAAGTTATGGGTGAACAAGTGCATATGAGGACGTAATTAGTGGGTTATGTACTTTGCAAATGTTTTCTGAATTCATCGCGTTATTGTTGCATGCGACGGTATACACTATGTAGGTGTCAGGATGGGACCTCGGGAGGTAATCAAAGCCATCGCAATTTTACCGTATACCAAAGTACCATCTCAACGACCAGCCTGAACCAGGACCAGACCGCAGTTTGAGTCAAAGGCGCACTCTGTTCATTCTTACTGCATCCCTGCTCGTGAACGCTCGTGAATGCCTGCCCAGGTGACCCCCGAGCGACGCTTGGGCCACGCCACTCTTACCGAGGCTGCCCGGTCGCGCACCGCTCACAGTCGCAGTGATACTCCCACCAAGAACCACCACCTATCAGTCTTCGCCCCATGCAATGGCTACTGTACACACGCATGGAGTTGCTGAAAAGGAAGCGACGAAGCTTATGCTCCGAGAGTTACCTAGCGGAACCGTGCGATACGTGTCCAACTTCACTCCGCTCCAGAGCTTCATTGGACTCATCATCTGCGACAAGACTCCAGACGCTACCAACGCCCGCGCGCTACCGGTTAACGAGCTGCTCGCGCTCGCACTGAACGAACTGGCCGCCAGCCATAGATCGCCGGACACAAATGCAGATTTCGAAGAGAGGGCCAAGCAGTCGTCACGGATCAGCAAGGTCGGATCCGGAGGCTTTTTCCAGCATCTCCCCAATCGCGACATGGCGAGCAAGGTGGCTGAGCGTCACAGCGCTTCTAGCCTAGGGTGAGTGCAGCTGGTATTCTCGATGACTGGCCGGCAGTAACAACTTATAGGCCGTCCTTTCCAGCTCTCATCTACATGAATTTCGCATGGAGTGCGCAGAGCGTCGCCAACTTCGAGCAGAGTTCCCAACGCACCCGATACATGGCCAGCGACTACCTTAACAATCGACCATCGCACGCGGTTCCCATCAGTGCTTTTCAGGTCGCAGCGCACAAGACGTACCCGCTTTACAAAACCGAACACGACTCATACGTCATCATCGTAACTTCTACCTACATTTACCTTCTACAGAACCAACAGCTCGAAGAGATTGTCCAACTATGGAACCCGAAGAAGCGGAATCCGTCCGGTGCGGATCGCAGCCATCAGCTCGAGACATTTCCGGGTCTGTGGAAAGACGACCCTTCGTACAAACTTTGGGACGCCTTTACACCATATCGCCACACTAGTCTTGAGGACTTATACAATGCCGTAGAACAGACCTGTCGCCCTTCAAACTTCACGTCTGGCGAGCTTTTCGCGATCCTTCCGCGGCCGTTGCATTCACAGCCCAGGATACCATTTGGCACGGGTGCGAGCCTAGACCATGCAGGGCAGCTTTCCCTCGTGTTGGCAGTGGACGGCCGAGTCAAAGGCCACCGGCGCGGAGAGCGGAAGACAAACGCCAGAAGGCGCGGGCAGTCCACTGAAAGTGATCAGCCTGTCAATAGTGTGGACTGAGACTGAGACTTGTTGTCTCGACGAAGTGCTCATAGACCTGGTACAGGTACAAGACATGGGCCTGGTAGCGTTCGAGAACATAATACATATAGGATGTACACCTAGAGATCAGGAAGCCCTGCATGCGATATCAACAGCCATGGACTTCGGCTACGTTAACACCAACGTCGTGGCTGTACTCATCCCTCTGTCAGAAGATGCGCGCAGAAGCGTTGATCAGGGTACAAATGCCCAATACGCTGACTGGACTGACAACGTCTTGCCCGAGGGCCTACTCGCGCGCACACACCAGCGTCTCATCAAACTGTCGTTTGCGGCCTTTGCAGGCCGGAGATCGTTCACGTTTGGCAGCTCGCGAATCAAACACTATCAACTTCCCCTTTCTTCAACTGCCTTGGTCGATATTAGCGAGCTGCATTTTACTCTCTTCATCCACGAAGCCGACGGAACCTTGTGGGTTCGAAATGCGTCGTTGCACGGCACACGGATACGCGCGGCTTCAATTGACGAAGGCCCGAGTGTGGACCTTCAGCGGGTGGCCATGCAGGTCTCTCAGGTGACACTGCTTCAGCTTGGCCGTAACGATCGCTTGGGTTTTCTCCTCATTCCCAATCGCCCTCGTCACCTCCAGTCTTATCAACAGCACATTACCCGCCACTTCCAATCGATTGTACGGCCAAGCTGCGCGCTTACGTCAACACGGAAACGACTTGCATCCACTATGCTAGGCCTGGAAACGTTGCGGAAGCGACCATGCATCTCCACTCAAAGCATCGATTGCGTGCCCGCGAAGCTCGGCCTTTGTACCACGGGGGTGAGTCTAGATGACACACAGATCCAAGTCTACGGGTATCTTGACCCTAACGGTCATCGTTAATAGATAGTGAATCCAAATAGATTGTGTTTGCCTCCTCTCGCTCCTGCTTCCTGAACCTTTCTTTGCGTTGGCAGAGGACTTTCCAGGTCGAACTACATCTACAGGCCATGGCGGGTCATTCCCTTCTTGATCGGTTACATCCCCTCATCGTTCAGAATAAGGGAGCACGTCACGAGGCCGAGATTTTCGATGCATTGATCGAGCACCCTCGTGCCGTCCGTTCGTTCGAATTTGCCCCGGTTGATGGCGCTATTGACTGCGGCACACAAAACTCGCCTCTGGGCGGCACATACAGTGAGCGATTCTGGGAGCTGGATCAATTGTACAACGAGCTTCACAACGAGCTTGACACCGCTAGTGGAGACGAATGCATGGCACTCACACTCTTTGACGCAAAAGGCAAAGAATCTGGCAGCGCTCAAAATCAGATCTACGTTACTGCTCTTAAGCAACGGAATCTGGTCCAGTTCTACATCTGCATGTGCGCAGCGAACCCCGGATTTGTCGAACTCTACCCAAACTACTATGCTGGAAGTCTGACTGCTGGGGACGATCCAGGCCGTTATGTCGCAGTCAACCTGTCACGCAAGTCTATCGTTGGTCCCGAGTCCTATCGATTCCTCAGTCCCTGCAATGCTCCCTATCGCATGCCCATAGCCCTTCTCACCGAGGCCATTTCCCGCATTCGGGCATGTGTTATGGACCCGGAAAGTGTTTACGCAAACCCGTATACGAACACTCGTTTTCCGCAGTGGCGACCAAGTACTGTTACTACCAACAAGTACTTGATGCCCGAAGAGAGTACCCAGCACGCAACAGGATTCATCGGCCTCGTCGATATTTGGAGGGGCATACGCGTAGCTAAGACTACTAGCCACATCGACATGGACTTTGACTTTGTCAACCTGCAACCAAGACTAGCAGACTTTAAATTGCTTCTCCCATCCTGCCCTCCTACGCCAACTCGCAGGCAGGTCTTTGTACAGTACAAGATCGACGCAGTGCAAAGAGCACGCCACAACACGAAAATTGCGATAGGTCGGACTGGAAACATCGGTACACATTGGTACTTTACCGATACCGAACGGTAAGGATTCCCTCGCGTTCAAGATTAATTCTTAACACTAATCAAGCCAAGGTTTGACTTCCTGTGGTACGAGTTCCGCTACACTGAGTCGAGCACCAAAGTTCTGAGCAAGGAATTCTACTTCATTCCTGAATGTGAGCTTTCTGATACGCTGTATACCTCGCTGGAATTACACGTTACTCTCGATAAAGACAGGTTTCGCCACTTTCACTCGAGCATGGACGTGCAGGGCGACTGGGTAAGCTTCGTCCAGCAAATAGTGCAGCGATACCCAAGCCCACGCAGGTCTCAGAGGCCATCGCGACCCCAAGTTCTAGAAGACTACAGCCAAACCCCCACACCAGATCGGAAGGTCAATAGCGTACGACCGCGTGACAGCAAATGGTTTTCTCGTAAATTCTTCCATGGTGTCATGACGCAATGTGCGTTACGGAGAAAGGGTCTCCTGGTAGTGTTGTCCCCACAGTTTCCCATGCCCAACTTCGCTTTCTGTCGCTACCAATGGACGCAAGACGATGCGGAGACATACCTCAGAACCAAGATACCGCCCCTGTCACTCAGCGACCTTGGCCCGTCTACGCCCGTTGTACTTACCTACGCCATTACAAAATATAAAGCTGGGTCATCTCGTGGCCCTATCCTCACTCCGTTCGAGTTTAAACGGCTAGATGCGTGGACTGAATGTCAAGTCTTGTTCTTCGACATGTTCGGAAGAGATGGCAAGGACATTCTTGGCCCACTTATAGCGATACCTTCCGACGACGTCAGCATATCAGAGGAACATCGTCAGAAGTACAAGGTTGACCTCGGAAAGAGTACGAGAACGGATTACTTGAGCCGGAGTCCTTTGCTTGCGCAGCAACTTCACACTCGGTACACTTTAGCAGACTACACCCTCTCCACTCTTGGTCCGATGATCTTTGAAGAGACAGCGCCTCAATCTCAATGGTCTGATGTGTGGGAGCTTCTGGATGCATGTTCAGGTGTCGCGAGCTTTGCATTTCCCCCTGGTGCGATACGAGAGCCACACAAGTTTCGTGTGACTATCCAAGACCTACATCAGCGCCTGGCCGACTACCACGCTAGCGTAGAAGGCCGGCAACTTTTGGCGGCACACCCGATCGATGGCTCGCAAGTTGGAGACGAGGAGGATGAGGTGTAAGAGAAGTCAGCCACGACAGGCGAAACGGAGTTTGAACGGTATTTCGTCCGCAACTGTCTACATGTACACGCATTACCAATAGCTAGACCAACATTGATCTTTCTCCACCCCCATATCCCGCTACTACACATGGATACATTGAGTGCCTACGAAATTTCGCAACATGTTTGTAGGATGATTAGAAGCTTCACGTTATCTCGAACAAAGACCGGAGAGCAAACCGAGCCTCTTTTAATACGAAACACTGTCCACCAAGTTTCCATTTCCTAATTATCTACCATTTCACCATGGCAATGTCTACCAAAAGAAGGCTATCAGAAGGCACATCATTACCAGCTTACGAAGACACCAAGCCGCCAGCCCGAGCAGGAGACAGAGAAGAACATGATGAGCCAGAAAGCCTTGAAGGATTGTCGAAGAAGGCCAAGCGGGAGCACAATACGTACACGGGCGAGAAAGACGACGAACAGAAGGAGCGCATCGATGACTGCACGCCCCCCCCGCTCAATGAGACCTTGAGAACTGCGGACGATACAACTATCGACGGAAACCTTGATACCATGGATGGGGTTGAGCGTGAGCAGACTCCGACCGGTCCAGACCCCTCACAGGCCACTCACGAACCAAGCGAAGCCGAAGTCATAGTATCAAAACACTGGCAATACGCTCGCATGCACTCCACGAAGCGAACCACTGTCGGTAAAAGGCCTTTACTCAAGTTTACCAGTCAACCAACTGACTTGGAGGTGCTTTGCCTTGTATTCGATAAATCAGTAAAATGTCCCAATGTCCTCCCAGCAGCGTGCCGGGACGAAACGAAAGACTCTCACGCGATCGTGGCGCTGTGGCTAGAGACCGTGAACTTTGTCTTTGTTGGGGACGTTTACAAGTTCAGGGCTGAGCAAGAGCGAACAGCCTTTCATGACATGCTCGTGCATCAATGTTGGCCTCAGCATCATGATTGGGGTTCAGATCACGTGCTCAAGGTCACTATCCCTGGCTTCTCCAGGGCCGTTCCCGGAGCCTGGGTGTGGCTCTTTGAGGCGTGCCAAAACATGCAAGAGATAGCGATCGGCATCCGAGCCGAAGAGATGATACCCGACAAAGAGGGAGCTGACGGGGTCGAGGAGTTCATTGAGAAGTGGAACCTGGATCTTCTCTCAGGGACTTGTCTAAAGAAGCTGACGGTTGCGCTTGATCCAACAGGCAAAAAGGGACTGATGACGTCGGTTACGCAAGTTTGGCTCCAACGTTTTGCTCAGCATATGAAAGGCTTGAGAGCGGGTAAGCTACAAGTGTTTCTTGACACGACCCAATTCTGGGATCGCGACATCCCCGCCGACGTCCGAGAGATGTAGAAGACGGTGACATGGTGGACTATGGAAGCGAGGACCTGTGTCACATTAGGTTGTCAACACTCGTGGTGACGGTGGGGCTGAGATGCTTACCCAGCGAGTAGTGGACATAGAATAGTAGGGATCCATTTGCAGCGTCAATAGAAAGCGTTATCCACGTGTGCTACTACTCTATTCTTTCTGCGCTCTTTGCTTTCAAGGCTTGATATGGTGATACGAACCACGTACCGTCGTTCTGTTCGCGAGAGCCGGCCAATGGAGCCGCTAGCGTTGTTTGATCCTGAGCTCGAGCCCTTTGTACGACAATGCGACCGCAGTGGCCTCACGCCAGGCGAACAACACCATCATTCTTGACCACGCGTATCTTGTTGCGTACAGATTGCCTGGTTTGCTAAAATCATCATTGGCATGTCTTCTCTGTGCTATCATAGTACTATGGGATAGATGACATGACAGGATCACTGGCCACTGTCTGAGCACCATGGACGGGTCAAGTTTCTTTATCTCAGCCAGACAAGTCATGTAGGTACGTATCAGACTCAGCGAGTCTCAGGATACGGCAGGCCAAAGTTGAAGATCGAGACAGGAGGATGTCTCACGTAGGTAGTAGAAGAGTATAGAGCATTCCCGTCTCTACGTGCTGGAGAAACAAACTTCCTATACTTGCCAACTAGCATCGTCATTTCCTGTCAGCCATAAAACAACTTTTACACTGCCACTAACGCCACACCACGAGAAGCATGGCATCCAACGCAGCCATCCCCACCAGCGTATCCCGCCCTCGCGACATCAACTACGCCGCTGATGAAACTCTGCTTCCCGAGCCTGTGTTCTCCGGAGTCTTCCACAGGGAGCTCGATCTCCTCACGACTGTCGATGCCAGTCCGTCAGAAACGCTACTCATCATTTGCGAAGGCAGACGACAAGGCATCAGAGCCGTCATACAGGAGTATATCGACAATGGGCGCAACCCCACAGGCCGTGCCTTTCTACTCACCCAAAGGTCTCGGACTACAGCCAGAGGCGGCGTCTTCACAGACACAACCTTCCAGTGGAAGCCCGAATATCGTCACAATCTACCTGGTTCGGTGCTCGCAGCCTACTTCCGAAGTCCTGTCCACACGCTCATCTGCATTGGTATGCTTGAGCTAACGACCGATATCAACATGGCAGGCTGGCTCAGCAGTTGGAAACAAGCGCTCTTCCCGGGCGGATCCCTAGTCGCGGAACTGAACTGGCATTGGCAGGACCGCACCTGGCGAGACACTGCGAAGCGCTATGCTGAGATGGCATCACCTCTTGGCTTCTGTCTGCAGTCTGTCAACGGCTTTGATGTCTCTATGGGGGGTCTCTTGCAGAGTCGCGTTTCGCAAAGCGAGCGGTTCCGCCGAGCAAGTACTTATCGAAGGCAGGCAGCAAGACTTGTACGACATGGTCGTCACGTTCAGCTAGGTCAGTATCTTGAGTCCAAGGCCAAGGACGCGGAGACGAAAGGAGTTCTTGCTCAAGATGATTTCATTGTGCAGGGCGACAGGCTGTACGGTCGATTCGTCCAATGTGTCCCGGAGCCTTGGGTAGACATTTGATTTGATATTTAGCTCTAGGTAGTCATCTAGCCTTTCTGGCAGCATCCATACCGTCTTGAGCAGAGGTTGTGATATCAAAGTAGTGTATTTGGAATGCAATGTTTGGCGCGCCACAGCTTGGTAGTATTACATGGTCGTGCCTTGTTGGTATCTCGCCCGCAATGCAACCGGCCCATCGTAAAATCCGTGTTCCCCACCTTTTGAACAACAAAGACCTCTCTGACGCGGTCACTCCCGACATATCCGTACCTCGACGGCGCCAAGAACGCTCGGAGTGATACCGCAAAACCGGCCGACGACTTTGTTGTACTCTGGCACCGTCGCAAGCCTATTGGCTTCCTGCCAAACGGATACATCCCCACGCATTTGCTGCAAAGCGTCCAGAAACTTTCCCCACAACTGAGCCTGCTTGCCAACAACGTCCAGCAAAGCACCAATAGATTTGTCATGGTTGCCAAGAGCGGAGATGCGTGTTTCGAACCCCTGGAGAACCTCATCAGCTGCCCCAAGCTCCGCCGTAGCTTTTCTTGGATTCCGTGCATCAGCCTCGTAAGCTGCCTTTAGAGATGCCTGAGCGTCCTGGCGTACGCGGGTCGCATCCCGGGCGTCCCTCATGTAGCTCTGCGCAACATGGAACGACTCTACGGCAACACTCGCGCGCCGCGACAGCTCCTCTATCTCGTGCGCTAGGCTTGTCAAGGCCTCTGGGGGTTGGCGACGGTGTGGGCTAGCCTTTCGGAGGGGTTCGGATAGGCTGGAGTACATGTACGACGCAGCATGGTATTCTGCAGCGGCGGCCAGCTCGATCGAGTTGTTAGCCGCTCGGACTGCGCTGGCTGTGTCTCCATCAAGAGATGGCATGTCGATGCTCGCAGCAGCTCCGAAGTAACCGTTCAAGCGCTCTAGCCTCCACTCATCAGAGAGCACAGGCTTCTTAGATTGCCAGGAGAATGACGGGCTCGCATCCCATAGCTTGAATGGCAAGGCGACGAGAAGACCACCAAGTGCGATTTTCATCCAGAGCTTCAAAGAGAGGCGAGCGGTCCGTCGGTGGAGACGTGCAGGGTGGTTGGGAGTACAAACGACAAGGGCTTGCTGAGCTTCTTCGGAAAACTCTGGGTACGAAACGTTGCCTACTTTGATTAATATCAGGACTGTATGTGCGTAGGCGAGCGATCTGGTAGGAAGCAGTTCAACATACCCTCAGCATTCGTGCCCCGGACATTGCTAGGGTTGTCAAAAGTCCCGTTAAAGGCAGTTCCTTCTCGTGCATTGTTGGACGATGTTGTATGCTGGACGTCATTTGACCGAGCGAAGGCATTGATTGCTTGGCCAAAGGTATTCAAGCCAGGCTCACTCTTAACTGTCGGATGCGCCACGCTGCGTGATCGTAATTTGGGCGCTTGTTGACTGCTAGGTAATGCCGTGACGGGCTCGTATGATTTCTGCTTGCGCAGAGGTGACCGCGGAGCGCTCTGTTCGTGTTGCAGTGCCCCAGCGGCGAGGAGCCGCCTCCGTATTTCGTCAGGATGTGGTGGCATGATTCCCAACAGAGGTCGAAAGTGGTGTAACTACCTAGGTACGTGGTGGACCGCAGCGTCACACGATGACCCCGAGGATGATGTAGGTAATGTAGCGGGTGGAAATTCACAAGCATAAATGCATAAGATCCATGGATGTGTCTCACCCTTCACCCTTCCTCTCCAGCACCGCACGCCGACGCAAGAAGACCAGTAGCAGCTTTGCTCACTCACCATGTCCAAAGACAGCGCAGCTGATCTGCAGTGGGCGCCCTGCCCCGTGCGCCCCGGCTGGACCGACGCAGAACCCGAAAACCAGATTCACGCGCTCCGAGCAGAAACAACAAAGCTGAGGAACGACCACAAGGCGCTCCAAGCACAGCACAAAATCCTCTACGAAGCAGTGGAATTGTTTGTAAAAGAAGCTACAGAAAAGGACTTGGGTGAGGACCCGGGTACCCCATTCATGCCGGAAGAGGAGGAAGAGGAGTACGATCAGTTACAGGAACTCCAACGGTGGGCTCATCAATGGAAGGCCGTTTTCGCAGAGTTTACGGCAGCACCCCGAGGCGGTCAAGACTCGCTTACACCTACTGGGGCTGAGTTCCAAGCGCACCAGCGTGAAGACGGCTCAGAGCGGGATCAGAGCTCAGCGCAGGATGAAGGCTTTGACATCCGTCCGTAGGGGCCAATGACCACCGAAACCGGCATGTAAGTTTCCATGCGGCGCGAAGCAACAGCACCCTGACATTGTGCAGCTGCCCAGATGATCACACAATCAACTCCGTGCCTCAACACTCGTCATGTCCTATACGGTTCTGAATGGAGTCGCTCGTGATCGTACCATCGCCACATATACCAAATCTGCGCCAAAGAACTCTCTTGATATTCGCCTTGCTACCGCGTCCCATGACGGTCACCCTGGGCCCGTCTACTTTGTCACGGGATGGCTTGCGACATGAACGAGACAGCCCCGCAAAATGTATCGGATTGCTTTGTACGTACGGGTAGCTACAGAGAGCCACGTAGTTGTCGGCGGCGGGGTCAATGACGCTGCTCAAACAGGGGATTTGATTGCTCACAAGCAAGTAGTTGAGTTACAAGAATATATGTGTACTGCTTCGTGTCTGCTTTTCCATTCTTGTCGCGGAGCCGGCTACTACTTTGCAACATCTTCCCCATCACAACCATCGTACGCACGAACTAGATCGACTCAGCTACCCCCAACGAACCGTACTCAGCTCTGTACAATGCCTTCCACGAAAGCTACCCTCATCATCATGGGAGGTGCCATAGCCGCCATCGCGGTGACTATGGACTGCTACGCAGATGTCATAGTGCGCCAAATCGACAAGCATTTCGACATGTCTGAGCATACCATGGCGTACTTTGACCACTTCCCAATCGCAAACGCTTGCCCCAGCGACTTGGCATCGTGGCCCGCTAGTCTGCGCAATGTGGTAAGTAGCTCAAGACCCTTCTATCAAGATTCGCAATTGGCCCTAACCGCGCGTCAGGTCTTCGCAGGCTCCAACATGATCGTGAACATAGCGCCACCTTCTTTCGTCGAATCCGCAATGCCGATCGCCAATCTCATGGCCTCCATCACTGATCGAGTAACCTCGTTTGCCCATAATGTAGTCTACTTCGGACATCGAGCTCGAGACTTGGCAACGCAAGCCTGGGTTATTGCTTTCAAGACAGCTGGTGCCGTGACTGAGCTGCGAAAATTTCTGCACCAGTTGTGCGAGCCCTCGGTGGCGGATGCTCTACTAGCCATCGTTGCCTTGACATCGTCCTCCGGCATTCTGGTAGCAGTTTCCATCGTCGTGCCCTGGATACTGATGGTGGTTCGCCTGATCGCATATCCGCTCGTCTTCTTACTCTGGCTTGCTCGTTTGATGGTCAAGGGTGCTCTTGTAAAGTTTCCGCCTATAACACCTATACAATACCATGCTGACCAAAGGTTTAGCGCCTGTTCAAGCCTTCTGCTGTTTAGGTAACGCCGATGACGACTACACACGCTCCCAACCGATTGCGATGATACGGTCCACGTCCATTTTAGGGGAACATCACCACAAGTTGCTCTTCCCATGAGTTGGTCGCGGCGCTATCTTCGGGCATGGTGGGCTACTGTTCATGACAAAGGGAATAGGGCAACCCGGGCGTCGACGAGGCTTTCTCCCTCAGTCTATCTTGCAAATTAGTCGGGGTATTGCTTCATACTCATAACTGCATGTTGTAATATATATACGATCAATACATCATGTATCGCTACATTTTCATGAGCCTATAGTGGAATAGCCTTGCTGTGACACAATTTGTGACCTCTCCCGAGTCAGGAGGACATTGCCACACGCTGGGCATTTCTTTGTTTGGCAAACACTTCCCGTGTTTGTCCTCTTAACTAAGCTACATTTCCCGTGTATATTCTCGCCCTTCGCGGTGGGGGCCCTCATACTTCACACGTCTTCTCATCTAAACATATGTCTAAGTATGTCCGGCTACCCCTACCCACACTCCATGGACGACGCTGAAGACTATGAAATTATAGTCTCCAGCGACCTAGATGTGCCACCTCGACCAACAGATGCACAGCGTACTGTTGTGATAGTGCTGACAGATACGATTCCACTCCAGCACTCGTTACTTCACCGGATCGATCGCCTTGGTCATATTGTGGTCGCTCCATGTCATCCTGATCGACCCATCACAACAGGTCATGGGTTCACCAACCGTTGCTATTTCTATCATACTGCAGAGCCGTTTGCCAGCATGTCAGCTGAGCATTGGCTCTCTGCTAAAGCGCACATTCGGCATATCACGAACCAACCCGTCGTTCTTCACATTATCGTGATTGGAACCCCAAGCAACACTGCCGATCTGGCAATCAATACCTTTCTTTCCGATTTCCATACTCAGCGCCGGCTTGAACCCGTGACTGTCATCGCGGAGGCGTTTCGAGAATTCGCCTACGAGCCGTACCATAGTGTCGTGCGTCGATACCAACATGCTGTTAAGCAACAGTCTCTGTGGCGGATTAGCAGGGTCAACGGCATGCAGGTGCGGCAGAACGGCACTCTTTTTGCCGATGCCATCACGATCGGTGCATTACGTCGACATGGTTTCTGTCACCGACAAATTGCCGAGTATAGGAATCGGGAACTGATGGATGAGCGAGTCGACTGCATGCTTCAGGCGTGGGAGCCAAGCCCCCAACACGCGTTTCGGCAGGGGGAGCGCATCTTCTTGACCCTTCAAGCTTCGAATTGTTCGTTTAACAATTAGTTACTAGCTATTGCGATGGACAGGAAAGTTGACGTGAGCTTAACCCAAGATACGACGGAGGTAAAGAGGCTGGCAGTAGGCTACCCTGCTGGAACAATGAACGGATGAAGGATTCTTACCTAGGTAGTCTTTGCATAGTTACTCTTGGTGCTCGTGTAGCTTGTCAACATCTAGCTATGCGCCTCTAGAGTTCTTACAATACTAGTGCTGTCGTACTGGCATCAGAATCGCAAGGTGGTCGTTCATACCCAGGTGTCGCGCGATAGACATGCAATGTGTGCACAGACCAACCGTTCCATTAGGCCCCGCGCGGGCGCGCTCGCAAGGTCCCGAGGTCCAGCCACACATCGCAAGCGCAAGGCGAAGACTGACGACGGCACCGACACCGAAGTCACCCCAAGAAGACTCCGACACCGCGCAAGCGCAAGGTAACGGCCAAGGTCAAGGAGGAGGGCAAGGACACTGAGGTCACCCCCAAGAAGACTTCGACACCGCGCAAGCGCAAGGCCAAGGCCACGGCCGCGACCGCGACCGCGACCGCGACCGTGACCGCAACCGCGCCTAAGTCTAAGTGCAAGTCCAAGACTGACGATGGCAGACGCCAGTCACACTCAAGAAGCCAGCCACACCTCACAAGCGCAAGGCCACGGCCGACAAGGAGACCACGGCACCTCAATCGCCAGCGGGAGTTCAGAGTGCTGCTGCCGCCTAGCCATATCACCGTTCACCACCTCAACCTCACCGTATGGACCCTAGATCCAGCGCCCGCTCCTAGCTGCTGGGGACTATATAGTCCTGCTGCCCGCTGTTTCAAACGGCGGCTTGAAACAGCGGGCAGCAGGAC